CTACTACTTGCCCCCCCCCCGCAGAAGACCCAGGGGACGGCAAAGATTATCCTAGGGCAAATGGATGAAGAACGTTTGAGCATCGATTGGAAAGGACTCGCGGTCATGAAAATTGATTGATTGCAAAGAATCGATAAACACTGCCTCTACTCATGTCTGACAACTCGAAAGTTTAAATTGTCTACTGCAGAGGACCGATTGTCAACACTTTCCCGTAGAAAAGACAACTGAAACAGCTTCGATAAACCATTATTTTTGGACTTCTTTAATAAGTCGTTTCATAATGTATTTTGGCATATTGACGAGTTATAGTTCAGGCATTTTCTTCTCTGCTGCTTTTAGTCTTTGTAATAGTCTTGGTTCATTGTCAAACCGAAAGGCTTTGTGGGCTATATCCCAAGGTACTGCAACGCGAGGTCGAATGTATTCATTCTGTAAAATTGAATCACTTGGGCAGCAATCATTTCTTGAGCCGTCTTCTCACAAGCTATGCCAAGAGGGTGCGCCTGGAAAATCACATTTGCATTATCCGCATTACACAGCCAAATCACTGTAGTTCATATCTGTCGAACTGCGGAGTATGGAGCTCACAACCGACTGCATATCGAATTGTGCTTTTCCTGACTTTGAAGAATTTCGTCACAATGGCAATTCTACAATAAACGCTCAATTCCTTTACCTCTAACAGCAGTCGCACTCCTTCTGTTAGGATGCAGCACTTATGACCACATGTTACAGCAGGTGCATATTAAACGTAATAACAGCCACCTACGCATCGCATATCAATTTTCCTTATTCAACACTACATCGGATTAGCTGACTCGTTAGAGTATTTGACTGACTGATCGGCGTGTCTGTTTCTATGTCTTGCCAACCGTCACTGGATGATACTACCAAATGATCCTTAAATTTCTCTACATAGTTCAGCTGCCCTCGCATTATACGCCAAGCAGATGAAGGGTCGTTTTCGAGCGCACAAATACCTCGACTTTTGTCGAAGAAATTTTTATGCTAATCTTATAGAAATGACCAAAAACACTCTTATGAGGTTATCATTCGAAAAGCAAAATGTCAAAATAACCTCATGCAAATATGACTCGATCGAACTCTTTTACTGTGAACTTTTCCTTGCCCATGAGGTGTCTGGTGATGAAATCCATAAAAATTATAAGATAGAGATGAGAAACACACACCGTTGACGTAGACCAACCCGCACTTGGAAAATATCGTCTTCTTGCCATTAACAAGGGCACAAATTTCCGAGCGGTCATTCAAGAATTTCATGACCTCCGCTAATTGAGTATCCATTCAGTATTCTGTAGTTGTTCTCAAAGTTCGCCCGCTAAACTATGTAGTACGTTTTAACCAAGTTTATGAGGCAGACATTAACCTCCTTCGCATACACCAACATTTCTCACAGATCCGGCGCTGATTGAAAATTTTCTCAACTCTGTTACGACCTGAATTTGACCCAAATCGCTCCCTTGAATCTCTTGTTTTCTCATTTCCTGGCATCTCGTTTTCATGCACTTCGGTTAGATTTTACTGGATACGCTAAAAAGGAGATGTCTAGACAGTGGTTATAGTGCTTCCGATTCACTTTTTCCAACCGGAAAATAACTACGCTGAATTATTACTACGTTTATGCGTTTTCAAAAGTCAAAGCAATCTTGCATACCTGAAACAGCCTCAGAAAGAAATCGCCATTTAATGCTTTTAGCACATCAGAACAGGTTTCGACCTTTGCAAAAGATTCGCTTTACTACTTTCAACTCAGGTTCTGTCCCAAGATGCCGTTTAGGACTATCAAAGGGTGTTCAGAGGCTAAACTGAGAAAATCCTCGATGCATTTCTGCTTTTTCTGGAAGCTACTCTTTTAGAGCTTACAGCTCAGAGGATTTTTCCATGAACTCGTAGTTGAGACGGTACATTGCCTCTGATCTAGCAGACTATAGGTAGTCTGCTAAGAGGCAATGTTTGCCCAAGGTCAACTGCAGCTCAGCTTCTCCCTTGACCGATTTCCATACCCTTGCCTTGCAGCTTGCTAGTTGAAACTGTGTGAATCCCCAATACTAATGAGACCTTGTTTCCATTCTAGTCCCAATAGCCAATATCTTCGCTTTGAAGGTGCCTGAAATATTTGGTTTCTACCAAGGGATGATTCCTTCGCGCCAATGCCAATCTGTGCAAGATGAGGTCGAAGCAGTGACAGCTGTTTTAAGCAACTCCCACTC